ATAAAATAAAATAAAATAAAATAAAATAAAATAAAATAAAATAAAATTAAGTTAAGTTAAATTAAGTTAAGTTAAAAAGTTGTTGAGCCCTGTGTTGAAGTGAGCTTTCACAAACATTTCCTGGATTGGATAAGAATTGCCTAATAAGGCAAGTAACTACCCATTAGTAAAGAGAGAGCCTGCAGAGAAGTTAATAGAAATCCAAAGGCAAGTTTAAAGGGACCACCAAGACCATTACCTGATACTCCAGTAATGACCTCAACAGGTGAGTGGCCCCAAGCAATTCTCTTGCCTGCTTAAGGCCTCTCATCCCCAACACCAGCTCTCAGGTCACCTGCAATACTAGTACTAATAATCTGGAGTCTTTAGAAACAGGCTCTGTAGTCAACTCAAGTTAATCTTTTTAAGGGACATAGTTTTTATTTGCAAGTTATCTTTAAAAATAATGATTATTAAAAAAAAATTAAAAAATGAAAATAATTATTAACAAAAAAGATGCTTTATTAAGAGACAGTATGAGTTTCCTCATGAAAGCTGTCTGACCATGACCATAACTCTAACCATGAATATAAAGGTTCAGAGCTCTCCCTAAAAGTGGGTAGGTAAAACTCTTAGCCAAATGCCTAAAAGAGAAAAAGGTTTTCCAGAAGCTCCTGTTGAGAAAGAAAGAGCATGCCCGCCCACTAGTGGACAAATTAAGTAATTGCCAGATTTTCCAAGAAGGATTCCCAGGCTCCACCTTACCGTGAGTGAACGAACACTGTCAGCTAAGCTCTAAACTATCACATAACTGCCCGCACAAAACACTCGTTGAAGAGGTCGCTGAAAACTCCAGGGTTATAAAGGTCTATGGGTGAACACGGAAGAGGTAAGAAAAACTAACCAAGTGCCAGAAGCATAATCAAACTTTATTTTTCTGAACCAGGATTACAACCATACCACATAATGCATACACCTGATATTGACAATGGTAACTTAAATTCAAAATTGGAAAAAAAAAAAAAAACATAAAATAGAAATATTTTACTTTTAACATTTTCTTTCACAATTTGTTAACTCTTGTTTTGGAACCAGAAATCTGCGACTTTTTCTTTAGCACATCATTGTTTAAATCTTGTACCAAGTTCCACGCGAGCACGGAACTCAGCCTTGACTGGTAGCCTTGACTTCAATAATTGAGAAGAACTGTTCACAAACGTAGGCATTTTCAAAGAGTTTTAACAATCTTTGCACAACTGTTCAGATATTTGCAGGAGTTTGGGGCTCTGGTGTCACTGTGCTAGATGTCCAGTCCTGTGTCGCACCACAGATCACCTTTCACACTGCAAGTATGTATGAAGAGATAAAGGAGCACTGAGCAGGGGAAGGTTACCTTCACAGAGCTGAAGTCAACGACAAAGTCAGCTTTCAGCATCACAGAATTTCCATCACAGGGCTCTGACCATCAGCTACAGTTCTAGAGCTAATTCTAGCACAGAAAAGAAGACCAAATAACGCTCTGCCAGATCACTGTCTCCATAATGTTTCATAACTCTAATGGATGACTTTGCACGGCGTTCAAAGTGTTTGCCAACCCAAAAGGCCAATTCTGTGATAACAATCTTTGCTGCTTAGCATAAACAAAGATTTCTTTTCCTCCGTGATGAGGAACGAATTCATTTCAACAGTTCAACACATCTCCTTAGCTTCAGTGGTGACTGAGCCTCCCAACCTACGTGCAGTGAGCAGACCTCTGTGTTATGTGTCCAATTCATTCAACGGTGCCTGCGATGCTCTGTGGCCCAAACCCCAGGGGGAGACCTAGCTTACAGGTGGTGAGCTCTGGGTCTGCGATGTGTTCCATTTTTAACTTCCAGCAGAAAGCAATTCCTGCTGAGTAATGCAAATGAGTAGAGGTAAAGCCTGTGTCCTTGCATAACTTGCCACATGGAACTTAAGTGTTACCGCAAGTCCAATATTAGCACTGTCCATCCCAGGATCATCATCTATATTAAATTGTTTAAAGTTTCCTCTTGTTACAGAAATGAATTTCTTAATTACTTCCTAGTGTTGTGCCTGTCATGGGCACACTGTCTAAAATATTTTCAGTCGTATAAAAATTCTCAAACCCACGGTGAATAAATAGAGCTAATTATTACATCTAAGTATTACTAAATATGTCCCCTCATCAGCTGCAGAAGCAAATGTCACAATGTTTAAAACTTTTTTCACACAATTTTTCTTTTAGTTTCCTAGCCATATTTCTAGTACATTGAGCAACAGTGTTTCTGGTTACACTTCTATTTTCACACGTCTGTATCTTCTCAGGACATACAATTTCTACCCCATTCAATAGACACTCCTTTACAACTTGCTATCTGTGAAGAATTTGATGGCCCAGGCAGATTTTTCACTAAAATATATAACTGCTGATTGTATTAAAAATCAAAACAAACCTTGTTGGCTTTTCAGTTCTCTTTGCAGCTCTTAGGATTTGATCAGACATCTTTTCCACATCCTTGGTCTTTTTTCTTACAGTGGTTTGTTTCATCACGCCACCTAGGCTGTTGTCTTAAATTACATCCTTTGCCACACAAACACACAGAAGTGAACTTCAGTTTACAAAGTGGAACATAGGACTCTCTACGTCTATGTTCTACTTCCTCCTTTTCACAGAGACGTAAGAAATATTCGCTTTTCTAACACGATACAGGAGAAGTGACCTTCACAAAGCACAACTTAGTTTTGCAAAATACATAACTCTTCTCTGTAATTCAACCTCTGGATCTGATCTCCTCCACCTGATGGAAGAACATGTCCTCAGTCTTGTCCAGGAAGGCATTCAGTCTCTTCCATAAGGATGTCCACACCATAAACCATGCCAGTAAGTACCCCTTGCCTGTAGTGGTTCTCAACCCTCCCTTGCTCCTACTGGAGCCACAATGGGGAGCTTTGGAAATGCCAATGCTTAGCTTTTCTCCACCACGATTACTCAGAATCTTTGAGGATGGGACATGGGTATGATGTCTTTTAAAGACCCACAGTGTTAATTCAGGCAATTCTGGCATATAGACAAGGTTGAGAAGGACAGATGTGGAGCAAGCAGACCTCACATGTGCTCCTCACGAGACAGCCAGTACATGATGCCTGACCCCCAGAGGCACAGATGGCCAGATGATGTCAGGGCAGTAGCAGCAAGCATAAGGGGATGAATTTACCATAGCAGCCAATGAAATACAGCTACCACCTGTCCCCTCTCCCACAGCAGCACCTTGGAAGAAGAGGGAGAGACAGGTGTCCCAGACCCACCTGGTCCCCCTCCAATCCAAGCAGATGTGGTCTCAGTTCAAACTGTGCTGGGGGTGGGAGGAGGGGAGATGGTAAGGTTTAAACCAAGCATGAAACTAAACTGGATCGAATATTAATAACCAAAAAAGACTAGGAAAGATGAAATCTGCCCAACATGTCACCATGGGATGGGAAAGGGAGAGTCAGAAGCATGGAGTTGGGCACTACGATCGAAGGAAAGAATCTTGGTCACGTTTATCCTGCTTAATGACTTGACACCACTTTATCAATGAATCATACTTCAGTGTTTTCTCAGTCACACAGGTTTAAACACTATGATTATAAGATTTTCTCAGGATTTCTTCTTCCTGTCTTCTGGGAAGTGACACCCATGTTCTGTGGGCATCAAACAGACTTGGAGGGAGGTGGGGAGTGGGGAGCCTCTTCCATGGCCATTCCTTTGTCTTTGCATTGACTTCATCTGAACCCAAGCTTGCAAAGCCTCCTGGATAAGACCACCGGACCCCTTTGGAATCCACTAACTCCCGCAGCAAATTTTTAAGCCTTTTGTGTGAACACAAGGTTTAGTGGCTCTCTCAAGTGTGCCTGGGGAGACTCTGGAGCAGTCCTGCAGCCCCACTTTGACTTTGCCACCCCTGCAGCCATGAGCGGTGGGCAGGATCCTAGGTCTCTTTCATGGAGATGCTTACCTCCTCTGACTCTTCCCTGCACTTCTCATTCCTCCCCAACTGGGAAAGCATCTTCTAGTCTGCATGGTGGTGTTTGAGAGAGAAGTGGAGGAAATGGTTCCCCCAAACACATAGTCTTCCAAATCTGATTTATCTGACACCTGCACCAAAGCTTTTGAACCCAATAGCCAAGAATATGAAACCTTTCGTCTTTGCTTCCCCCATGGACCTCCTCCATAGTCTCCTCCAAAGGAGACTCCATTCTAGCTTCCTGAATGAGAAAGGATCATAGAATAAAAACCGAATTGGCCCCACACCCTTAATGATATGGCACCAGTCATATCAACAGCCCCCACTGCTCTTCCTATTAAGATCAGAGAAAAAAGGTGAATAAATGCCAACAGAAGATAGTACTAGAACAGTAGAAAAAAATTGTGTGCAAAAAATTTAGGGAGATATTATTTATCACAAACTGATATAAGTTGGAACAAAATACACAAAAAGATGAGTTTGGTGCATTGGAATTCACGAAAGCTGATGATAAATACAACTCTCTATTAGCAGAAGTAACAGAAAAGTAACAGAAGTTAATGACTCTCAACAGATATGCAGAACTTGTCAAGGAATCTTTTTTTTTTTTTTTTTTTTTTTTTTTTAGAGAGAGCACACAAGCAGCGGGGAGGGGCAGAGGGAGAAAGAGAGAATCTTAAGAAGGCTCCATTCTCAGCCTGGAGCCCAATGAGGGGCTTGATCCCATGACCCTGGGATCACGACCTGAGCCGAAATCAAGAGTCAGAGACTCAACCAACTGAGCCACCCAGGTGCCTGTCAAGAAATCTTGTTGTTTCCTGTTTCTGGCTATTATGAGTAAAGCTTCTATGAACACTCTTGTCCAAGTCTTTGTGTTGACATGAATTTCAGTTTCTCTAAACAATGCTTTCCTAATTTTGCAATACGTTGCTTTTTCTGGTGCTATGTGTATGCAACCATGATTTAATAATAAGAGGCAATTTTATAATAAAAATAAATCTCTGAGTTTAATTTGAGATAAAATTAATTTGGAGATGGAGAAATCCATTTTCATCATCTCTCCATTTCTATTAGAAAAATTACAACAGGGCCATCACGCTGGCATGAAGCCTCAGAATCAAGAAGATGCTAGGAGTTGGTGAATACTGTGACAAACTGAAAAGTACATACATAACCTTGTTTTAAATGTGCAGCCACATTGAGGAGGGCACTCATTGGGTTGAGCACTGGGTGTTGTATGTAAGCAATGAACCATGGGAATCTACCCCAAAAACCAAGAGCACACTTTACACACTGTATGTTAGCCAATTTGACAATAAATTATACTAATAAATAAATTATAAACATTTTTTAAAAGTTTAAAAAATAAAATAAAATAAAATGTGCAGCTACTATTCTTCCTCAACCAATTCACCATGTGGTCCCAATGTTCCCCAATCTTCTAATTTTTCAAGGGCAGACAGACTTTTTGTGCATATATGCAACCTCCTAAATTTGCACGTTGACCAGCAGAAAGTAGCAAGCACTGGCGGTGGGCCTAATGCCATCCAGTCTCAGGCTGTGCAGGATAAAACACAATGGCAGGCCAGATTTGGCCCCAAGACTCATTAATCTGTAGCTAAGATTTTGGTTCTCAGTCTGGCTTTGAGCAATATGAACTTTTAACTTTTTAAAAATACATGTCTATGGGACGCTTGGGTGGCTCAGTCGGTCGAGCATCTGACTTCGGCTCAGGTCACGATCTCACAGCTCGTGAGTTCAATCAAGCCCTGCGTCAGGCTCTGTGCTGACGGCTCAGAGCCTGGAGCCTGCTTCAGATTCTGTGTCTCCCTCTCTCTCTCTGCCCCTAACCCACTCGCATTCTGTCTCTGTCTCTCTCAAAAATAAACATTAAAAAAATTTTTTTTTAAATACAACATGTCTGGGCCCTAGCTCAGATTCTGACTTAACAAGATCAGGAATGAGGCGTGGGCATCTGCATATGACTTTAAATTTCAAGTTAACAGTGTCTGATCACATTTCTCAACTTCAGCACTGTGTTCAGAACACCCCACCACTTGCCCAAGCTAATTCTAACCCGATTCTGAGTTGAAATACTGACGTGCATCGCAGTGTAAATTATAATCAGTGATAAACACACAAACAATGAAACTGTCACAAGGCAGTTTTTCTAGTCTCTAATTAACCCAAATGGCATCAAATTTTGGCTCTTCTGTGTCTGAGGACATTATAATAGCTGACCTTTCTGGAGGAAACTTGGGTCTAAGTAAAAACGTTTGCATGCAAACTGATGGGAACTTCTTATTCATGAACATGCTAACCACAGGATAAAAATGTCTCTGCAAATAAGGGAGACAAAAAGAAGCAGGAGAAGGCAGATCAAAGGAGCTGTTGTGTTTTTACAATTTGGCAGGTAACCGGTCTTATGAAATGAGCACAAATGCGTGAGCACAAAGACTCCTAACGTGGGACTCTTGCCTGTCAGGTGTATATGGGCTTAAAGTAAGTAAGGGAGAAAGATGCCATGATAGGAACCTATCTCAAATTTTTTCCAGTGAGCTCCTGCAAGCCCGAGGCAAATGGGTCTTTATGAAAAACAGAGACATCCAGTAACAAGATCCTCCCATCATTTGCCTTTCAAGCCTCCGACCTGTAGTCATGGGGCAAACAAATGAAGAAAAATTGGAAATAACCATTAACTGGGGAAAAAAATTATAATAACATTGAGCGAGGATCAGAAGACTGCATAGCAGGTACCAGGCCTTGGCATGGAAACCTGGAGGTCAGGGCCAAAGAGAATGGTGACAGTGAACACAGACGCCATGGATAGAGACATGTCCAGGTTTAAAATCGTCCTCACCATGGTGGTCTCTGGAGTAGAGTGCATGACTGGCATGATTGGGAATGGCTTCATCACTGCCATCCAGGGGGCCGAGTGGGCCAGAGGCAGAAGGCTCCCTGTGAGTGACTGTATCCTGTTGAAACTGAGCTTCTCCAGGCTTTTGCTGCAGATCTGGATGACGCTGGAGAATATTTACAGTCTATTCTTCCTGGTCACTTACAACCAAAACACAGTGTTTATAATCTTCAAAGTCATCACCATGTTTCTGAACTATTCCAACCTCTGGCTTGCTGCCTGGCTCAACATCGTCTCTTGCCTTCGAATTGCAAACTTTGCTCACTGTTTGTTCTCCATGATGAAGAGGAAAATCAGAGAGATGATGCCTCGGCTTCTGGGGCTGTCACTGTTCATCTCCTTATGCTTCAGCTTTCGCTTCTCTAAAGATATCTTCAATGTGTACATAAATAGTTCCGTTCCTATCCCCTCCTCCAACACCACTGAGAAGAAGTACTTCTCTGAGACTAACATGGTCAACCTGGTTTTTCTCTATAACCTGGGGATCTTCATTCCTCTGATCATGTTCATCTTTGCAGCCACTCTGCTGATCATCTCTCTCAAGAGATACACCCTACACAAGAGATACACCCTACACATGCCACTGGCTTCAGGGACCCCAGCATGGAGGCTCACATGGGGGCGATCAAAGCTATCAGCTACTTTCTCATTTTCTATATTTTCAATGCAGTTGCTCTATTCATTTCCATGTCCAACATCTTTGACGTCAACAATTCCTGGAATATTTTGTGCAAAATCGTCATGGCTGCTTACCCAGCTGGCCACTCAGTGCTACTGATCTTGGGCAACCCTGGGCTGAGAAGAGCCTGGAAGAGGTTTCAGCACCGTGTTCATCTTCATCTATAAGAGCAGACCCCGTGATGGAATCCAGAGTGCCACAGGACCGGTTCAACCAGCTCTGCCTTTCCCCCACCTAAACCTCTCTCCTCACCCCTCTTTTCTGCTTAATCTTATTTCTCAGGTAACTGGGTTGTTCCATGAATGGGACACTGAGTTTCTAACTTGAGATTCTAAGCTGAAGTAGCTAAGCAACTCTAAGATGGATTGTGGAAGCTCCTTGATCTATGTTCACTCATCTCCTGCCCTGGGCCTTAAGTAAGGAGAGGATGGCTGGACCTCTCCATTTGCCGGGGGTGATCTCAGTGTGTGCCTGTGGTCACTGGGCACCCTTTAATTCTCAAAGATATCTTGGTCGGGATGAAAACTTACATGGTCACCCTACTGAAGGCACCCTACTAACCCACAGTTAAGAAAAAGGAGGGCTAGTGACAAGCATTGTATGCAGTCCAAGAGGCAGAAGGGAGGCTAGCATACCTACAGGGAAAAGGGACTAAGGAGAGAAAGCCCGGCCGGAATTACCAGGTGCTACAGAGGTTTCAAGGAAAATGGGGGCTGTGTATACTATTAGTGCAGTGACAGGTAGCATTCATATTACAGAAGTTTCCAGAGTAGGTGATGAAACAGTGAGGGAGTTGGTAAAGACCAATAATTTCAGGAGGTTGTCTGGAGAAAAACATGAAGTACAGGGCAGCAGATGGATAAGTGGATGGTCAATTGAATGCTTTATTTTTCCAAATGGCAGGGGGGCGTGCGGGGAAGAGTGGCATGTGCAGCCCCAGGAAGAAAACAGGAAGAGTCCAGAGCAAAGGAACATCTATTTTGCTGTGCTCCTGTGTTGGGGGCAATGCAAATGGCATCTGACTCTGGCGATAGCAGTTCTAGGTGCCCTTGATGTGACCATGGTGCCAGCGCAGGTTACCTGGCAGGGGCTGTTTGACAAGAAAGAAAACGTCACAGTTCACTGCCACTCTTCACAATGATGGCATCAGCACCGCCTCAAACAGCCTTGTACAAAATAAGACACCACTCCTAGACATCTTGGAACTAGAAAGTTAAGAACTTGGGGTTTTCTTGTATTTGGTGTTTTCAAAATCAGAATTACTGAGGAAAGTATGAAAAGAACGCCACCCATCACACCAAAGCTTCCAAATGAAAATGTAAGGTTGGTAGCAAAGACTAAATGCTGAGCTTCTGGGCTCTCGAGCACATTTTTCAGAAAGAGCCCTTTATATCCGTGAACAGCAAAAAATCACACACACACACACACACACACACACACACACACACACACACACAGACATGTACACACTCTCACATACACCCCTTTACAGTTCCAACAGCATGGGATGTATTCAATTAGAAGGGAAACTATATTCATGGAAACACATATTTTTCATTGTTTTCCTAATTGATATTTACTTCTATGACTATTTGAGGTTGGTATAGTTGTTATGGTGGGGCAAATTAGATTTTGAAGTTTCATTCCAGTTCCTAAAGAACAGAGAAATATACATTTTCCCAATAATACGTGCACACCCATCCAATGAAAAACAGAAAATTGATTTAGAGCCAGCATGTGATTAATATGAACCACACCAAGATAACAAACTATGTAATCCCTCTCTGTGCTTATTATGAAGAAATAACATGTCATTGTTTGTAAAAGCCAAAAGCAGCAGAGAGCTAACCAGAGCTTCAAGGATGATGACATTAATAGTGTGTGTTGCCTTACCTTCAACTAGGTAAAGTTCCCTCCAGTTCTCTCTCCCTCCCCTCCTTCTTTCCTTCCTTCCTTCCTTCCTTCTTTCCCTCCTTCCTTCCTTCTTTCCTTCCCTGCTTCCTCCTTCCTTCCCCCCTTCTCTCCTTCCTTATTTTCTTTCTTTCTGTACAACCCACCTAGATTTCTATAATGGGCACCCTACCTTCCAATTGGTTGGCTTTAGACAGAAATCAGAAGTCCTAAAGGATCTGCTTTGCAAACTCTACATGACACCCCTGTACCCTGAGAGAGGTCTGAAAGTTGGTGTGAAGGGTTCCTTTACTCACAAAGTCACTCTGGACATTCACCCACCACGTGGAGCAGCTAGGGGGACTTGGGTTGCCACGGGGACTCCAATGTGGAAGGCCCAATACAAGGCGGGGTGTCTCAAACCCAGCTGAGTCCTAGTGAAGGAAGACTAGAGTAGAAGCCAGAGTCAATCTCAGGGCTGGGATTTGTGGGCACCAGAGTGCCCCACAATCCAACACGATCTTCACCTTTTAATCTGCTAAATGCCACCACGGTTCCTGCTTTTCTGGGAGTGGACTCTGCAGGAATTCTCCTTTACTATTCTCTCAGACATCCTTTCCTTTGGGCTGCTAGGACAGAAACATCTATTGAATAAAGGGAAAGGAACTGTAAATTCAACCAACCAATGAGTCTTGAGTTGGAGGGGGAAAACAGAAACCAAGGGCAGAAATCTGAAGCAATCATGGCAGGATGGACAGAAACGGACTCCTTAGAGGAGACGCGAGAGGTATGGAAATTCCTTACACGCTCAGGAAGGTTGGTTTTCAGGAGAGAAAGGAGGAGTAAGCAAGCCGGGGCACCAGCCCTTAGTGTTAGAAGGCTGGGGGAGCTCCCTGGACCCCTTCGCTGCACTGGAGACAGGTTGCCTCAGAGAGCAGAGGTGAAAGTCAGAAGAAAATGCTCATTTCCATGTCCTTTTGGGGGAAGTAACATGCTACATGGCTAGAAAGTTGTTGATGGAAGCAGGACAGAAGCCTCTTAGAGCCTGGCATGTGGCCCAGGAGGTGAGGCCAGAACAGAGAAGAGCAGCAAGCATAAGAGGTGTGGGGTGGGAGGCCAGGGCAGAAGGATCAGGAAAGGGAAGGTGTGAAGGTGCTGAGTGCTTGGCCAGGCTCATCTGGGGAAGCAATCTACTTACCGCTCCTGCCTGGCCTTTGGGGGCAACAAAAGATCTTCTAAAAGCTTTCTAGAGGAATATTTCTGGGTGGGACTCTATACTGCACAGGTGCCCTGTGTCTGCAAAGCTAGCCTATCAACCAGCCTCACTGGGGAGGAAATGGATTTGGGGGTTGGGGGTAAAGTTTCTTGTTTCTCTCATTTGGTTTCCCTTAGTTTTTTAGCAAAGTGTCTTAAAAATGTTCTGTCCTTCCTCAGTTGTGTCAGGATAAAATCAAAGAAAAGCCGCTCTGAAAACAGTTCAAAAAGAAAAGGAATCAACAATCCCCTGGGTTGGGTTTGGTTCGGATGTGGCAGCAGCGAAGGGAATCCGAGGAGAGAATTCCAAGGTGGAAGATTAACAGGAAAATGTCACGTCGGGTAGCTGCCTTGCCCCTCTGGCCACACAGTTCCTGGAGTCCAAACGACTTCAGTTTGGGTGCTGGCTCTGTTACTTACTGGTTTTTGACGCAGGCATGTTATTGCATCTCTCTGAACCTTAGTTTCTGTATCTGTAAAATGGGAATAATGATAATAATACCTCCCTCCTGGGATTACCTATCTCATCCTAAGAAATAAGTGAGATAAAACTTATTTTTGGTTATCTCAACTTATTATTGGTTGAGAGTAGGCTCTCAACCAATGTTAGCTGTTAATATTCTTAAGAGAAGGGATGTGAGGCTGAGGGGCCAGGAGTCTAGAATGAGGATATATAGGGGTGCCTGGGTGGCTCAGTTGCTTAGGCATCTGACTCTTGATTTTGGCTCAGGTCATGATCTCATGGTCATTAGTTCCAGCCCCGACTCAGGCTGGGCTCCTCGCTGAGCATGGAGCCTCTTAAGATTCTGTGATTCTCTCTCTCTCTCTCTCTCTCTCTCTCTCTCTCTCTCTCTCTCTC